TTTGAAGTAAATATGGGGAAAAACCCGACCGGGTATATAGCCTACCTCGTCGGGTAACAACACAATGAAGGAAAACACGGGCAACACAACAGGCGGGTGAATTTTTTATCAAAACAAAAAAAAAGAGCTAAAATATGACCGGGTATGCCAACAACCCGGCCGGGTTTTCACTGATTTATGCCCCTTGGAGTCTCTGGAAGTAATACCCATTCGGGTTTTTACTTAAAACCGGACGGGTGACGAAAAAATGAAAAAAATATATAAAAAGGAAGAAAACCCGACCGGGTATCACGAAACCCCGACCGGGTTTTTGGCCAAAATAGCCACTGCCAAGAAAATAAACGAATACCCATTCGGGTATTACTAAAACCCGGCCGGGTAATCGGGATTTCAGTCCGATTTTTTCCATCAACCCACAAAACACTCATTTTTTCCCCTAATCTCCCAAACTCAAACCCTCAACCTCCATTGACAATCATCCAAGCTTCGAAACACTCCAATCTCAACCAAAACATCCAAATTAACCCCCACATTCTTCTTATCCACATCATCCTCTCCCAAACCTCCAAAACAAAATGCCATTCCCTTTTTCTCCTCATCCTACTTTCTAAACCCACACACACAAAACCCACCAAATCCCCCAAATACCTACAAACCGAATTCCCTAACTACCCAAGCTGAACTTTGAAATTCACTCAAAAAAAACACAAAAAAGCACAAAAAAGAACACATGTCTTTGACCACCATGGGTACTTCTTCAACATGCCCACCTAGTACAACACCCGACGTGGTATTATCCCTCATATTAGGGCAATTGGGAGGTTCTAGCTCCGGTGAACATGGTCTTGGTGGCGATGACGGTTATGGAGGGTACGTCGACGATCATGATGCCGAACACTAGGGATAGTGTTTCGAAAAAAGTGTAGGGGAGGCACTCATTTGGTATGTACTCATTTTTTTACCTTGTAACTTGCAATATTTTTCTTCAAAAAAATAAAATAAAACAATAAAAGAAAAAAATGCTAGTTAGGTTGAAAACCTAGAAAAAATGGGCAATCTAAGCTAAAGTGGCTAAAATGAGTGAGTTGTGAGAAACGAAAAATAAAAAGAGAGGCTAGGATGAAAACCTGAAAAGGCTCCTACGCAAAATGAGAGAATGAGAGAAGATATCTATTTATGCAAGAAGATAATGAGAAAGGAAAGATGAAAGCATGGAGTTGAAGACCCCTTTTAATCACGGGGTATTTTTTTATGATGTGTCTCAAGAAAAAAAATTGTTGGATGGTTGTTCTGCTACTCTTGCGGTTTTGAAAACTTCATGGGCATGTTTTAACTTACTCGAGACGAGTAAAGGTTCACGTGTGGGGGTGTTTAATAGGCACTAGTTGTTAGTGCTAAAGTATACATTTTTATTATTGTTTGTGATGATTATTTACTATTATTGTGGAAGTTTGTAGCCATTAGTTTAATTTGATTGTAATTGTATTTTTAGCATTTAATTGTATGTTGTAAGAAGTAGTTAGTTAGGCTATAATTTTAGGAGAAGTTTGGAAGCAAATGGGATGAAGGAACTTGAGTTTTATGCAAAACCCGATCGGGTATGGCCTTTACCCTACCGGGTATGAAGTGAAAAAGGAAATTGCTGCGAAACTAGCAAATACCCGGTTGGGTATGAAGTGATTTCGGACAAAAAGACGTGCATATGAACACAAGAATGTGGGAAAAAGATTTGATTTGACAAATACCCGGTCGGATATGTCAAATACCCGGCCGGGTATCCGGCCATAAGTGTTGAAAACACCTATAAATAACCCCATCTTCCTTCGCTTTCAATCACTCCTTCTTCCATATACTTAAGCTCAACTTAGAATAATATTTTCTTTTAATTTTCTAGCATGTCTAGTCTCCAAATGAGGAGCTAAACTTCCATTTCTTGGTCTTGCTCTTGAAACTTGTTGATTATTAAAGTTGTGAGTTATTTTCTTAACTTCTCTCCTTGAATATTAATTCTTCCCTTAATCTATTTCTATATCAATGTTGGGGAGTGTTGCTAAGATGACAATTAGTCAACATCTCAATATTAATTATTACTAGAAACGATTAACGAACCGATGGTTGATCGTTGATGGTTTTCACAAGTAAGTAATTTCGGTTTATTAATGCACGGTCGTGGTTAATAAAATTAAGAGGGATTAATTTTGTTGGTTAAACCGAAACCGTTGTGTTGAGGTTATCAATCTCAATTGATTTCATCAAGGAGTTAGAAAAATTAAATGCTACTATTAAATCGGTATAAGGTGTTGTTCTATATTTGATTAATAGTAAGGGTTATTAATGAACGGTCGTTGTTAATAACTACCATTGATAAATTGGATATACTCCTCGATTGAGTATTCGAGAGGGGATAAGTTATAGATATAACAAGGATCGACTAAATATATCAACAAGTGGAAAGTAGTAAAGCCAAGTTCTTTTTATCTTTGAATTAAATCACATATAGGTTGTTCATCTTAGGTTTTAATTAAATTAAATCATTCAAACCCAAAACTTAATTACTAGTTTCATTTAAAAGAGAATTATTCTTTTCCCTGTGGATACGAACTCTACTACGCTATACTACGTTTAAGTGTTAAGTATTGAATTTATTTTGATGCACCACGACAAAGTGTCCGTCAGAGATGCATGATACTACTGAACAAGAGGGTGATGGTTCAGTAGGTGATGATGATTCTCATAGTGATGATATTCCTCAACAGGGGGAGCCTTCATCTGAAGACGACGCTGAAGGTATTCATGTTTGACGTTCTATGCGAGGCATAGTTGCACAGGGAAAATACTCCACATCTGAATGGATACTTGTTGCCAGCGAGGGAGAGCCAACGAGCATCGCAGGAACGAGAGAAATAAAGAAAAAGGTGGTGGTGGTGGTGGTGGTGGTGGTGGTGGGGGGGTTGTAGGGATCTTCCACCCTCTTTCTTGTAAGTTGCCAAGAGACATGTAACACCTTCCGGGAAGAAGCCATCCAACATTGAGGTACTTCCACATTCTTTCATGGAAGTTGCTTGGAGATAGCTATGAAACTCCCCAACAATGGGAATGGAAGATTGGATGCAACTTCCTCATGTCTCTCATATACACCTATAAATAAGGAGTGTATTGTTGTTCATTTGTATCAGTTTAGAAAGTGAGAAAATTGTATGAAGAGTGAAATACACTTAGTGTAGAAGTGTATTGGTGAGGATTGGTTTTGTGTAACAGTTGAGTGTGACAGTTTGATCCTCCTATTGTAATTATGTTCTTGATATTGAATAGAAAAATTTTCCAATCCCAACAGGAGAAGGGTTGTTTGGGTTTTAGAAGAATTTATTTAACATTATAATTATCCTTGAAGCAGTTAGAAGCACCTATATTCCACCTTCCAGCTTTTTCGCTCTTAATTTAAGTAAAAGCAGGTATTTGAAAACATTCATTTTAACTTTTTTAAAGCTAAAAGCCGAAAAATGTTTTTTTAATCTTTTGCAAACACTCCTTAAGAATGATGTTTGGTTGTTGGTTTGGCTGCATGTTTGTTTCTATGAATTTAATATAAGCAATTTCCTTTAAAAAAATTATACTTTTGGTCTTTCCATGCTCTTTATCGTGGGCATTATTGTACACTGAATTCAAGTGGGACCCCAGTTGGAGGAGGTAGCAATATGGGACCCAAGTTGCAAAAGGCCGCAATCTAGGCAGTTCGTATACGGTGCAACCGGCGCACCTTGAGCATCATGCTCCACTCCCAAAACGACGTAGTTTTGCACAATAAAAAAAATCGCGTGAACAGTACACGCGTGAACAGTACACACGCGTGTACAATGGCTGCTTATTTTCTTTTTGTCCCAGTAGCATGAATGATGTAACTCGTGTGTAAAGATATGTAGCCCGCGTTATTGATCAATGTAACTCAAGTCCATTCGAAATGTAACTTGTTGGAAAAATGAACAATGATTTTTTGTGTGTGTTTGAGATATTATAAACATTGATTTCAATGTTTTATTTTTAATATTAGAGCAATAAAAATGACATAGCTGGAGTTTATTCCGTGGTGTAACTCGCATACATTAAGATGTAACTCGCGTATATTAAGATGTAACTCGCGCACATTAAGATGTAACTTACGCAGAAGAAGATGTAATTTCATGATATATTATCAAATGTAATTTCAAGAATCAAAATAAACAAACTCAATGTCTTATATATATATATATATTTAAAGGAAGATAAATAGAAAAAATCAGGGAGATGGGTTTGAGGGAGCTTCCGATAGATATCATTTGCGTAGATTTCATGGTAGGTCCTCCGGCAGTTTCCATTCGGGGCAATATCCATCAACGCCAATATCAAGATGGAGACCTGATCATTATTTGCGTTGCATCAACAACTGGGGAACAGAGGGCAGAGCAGATCACACGCATGCGAGCATGCTAGGGTTCCATTTGAGTGTAATAACTAACTGGGCTCTCTGTTGCTTTTTAATTAATAAAACTATGTCGTTTGGGATCGGCACACCATGCTCATGGTGGAGCGATCCCAAAGTTTAATTAGATGAAAGAATGTAAATTGGACTTTAATCACAAGCTGATTAGAGGCTCTATGCATTTTAACATAGTAACATCTCATCGTAGTTGGCGAGATTCGAATCCGAAATGCAGCCCTTGTGGACCCCCGTATTTACCGGTTGAGTTACGTCCACCGGTGCAATCTAGGAATCAAATTACATTATTTGAAATATCAAAAATTTCAGTTCTAAATCGGAGTTGGTCGACGACAATGATTCGTAATTGTTGATTCTGATTCCACAAAACTAGTAAAAAAGCATCAGTGAGAAGGTTGTTCTGAATTTGAATATTTGATTCTAAAAATCAGAAAAGAAAAAAGAAGGTGGTTCTGAACAAGGATAAGTAAAAGAAAAGGGGCTCAAACCCATTTATATAAAGGCACAGGGTGAAATTGGACTTCGAAAGAGTAGATAGGTTAAACTGCAATTAACACAAAACACAGGCATAACCAGGCGACCTGCTATTATAAAGGAGGTCGCGTGCCCTAAATTTTGTCCCGCCTTTTGCTCTTATTATCTACTCGCCGTCGATATCTCTATCTGCAGCGCTTCAAAGGTAATCGTAGCCCCCAGTATTTACTAACTGTCCCCGTTAGGGTTATGAGTATCGATGTTGGCGTTCATATGATGTTATGTGAAACCATGTTAAATCTAGGGTTAGACATATATTTTATTCTTGGGGTTTTGCAGCTGTCATGTACCTTAATGGTTGTGTCCATAGGCAATAGTCACTTGATCTTTGCTTGGTAGTTCTTAACGAGGGATTCCTTTGCACTTTGCTATGCATTTTATGTGAATATATTGTCCTTTTAAATTAAACCTCTTCAATTTTATAATTTTAGATTTAAATCACCTAAATTCCTTAATACTTTGTTGCAAAGCAAGTACCATATCCTTGAATGCCATAATATGTAATGTAGCATATGTTTTAGGGGAATTTAAATGAATAGCCTTTGACATTAAGAAACCGCATCTTAGTTACTGAGTTACATGCCTCGTTTTGAAAGTTGTTTCGTTTCTGCATTTGATTGATTTGGTTTATCAGTTATTAATTTTTATTGGTTAGTGCTGTTGTTCATAATTGAGAATATGCAACTTAAAATGCACATTGTTCGTCCATGTAACCCTTTTACCATTTAATTATGCTTTGAAATTTCTCATTTGAGTATTTCTTCATTATCCCATACCTATAAAGGTACCATTCTTTACAAGAAAACTCTTTTGGACGTATTTCCCATGTACCCAGTTCTAGTTACTGACACATTGCCCAGTATTCAGATACTTGTTGTCTGTAATATTGACACATGTAACTATGATAGAAGCACATGCCTAATTGTATTTTCTTTTAAATAGAAATCTTATGCTTTGTTCATGTTATTTTTATTGGCATTCTTGGGACAAAAGGTGATGTTTTTACGGAATAAGGTGATGTGCAATTATCATGTATTTGTATTGGCTGGTCATCCTTCTCATTTTCTTTAATGCATAGGTTTTGTGCATTGTGTTGTGTTGTTTTATTGTTTTCTGCATTTTGTTCTTTTATTGTTATCTGCATTGTGTTGTTATGGGCATCATAGATTGAAATAATGAAAGTAAAACCCTGTTGGTGGTTCAAATGATTGGAATGCATAACTTATTAGCTCTAGCTGATCAATTCCTAGATTTGATATTATTTAATATCATATTCTCTTCTGTAAATGAGCCATTCCTAGATTTGATATTATTTAATAATTCATAAATATCAAAACATAATTATTTAAAATCAAATAAAAGGAGAACATATTCAAGGATATCATTCTCCACAAAGATAGTGAAGATATCTATTTTTTATTACCCAATATGACTTTGTAGTTTGCTTTATTCTTTTCTGCTCCATTTGTCATGCATTCCTAAATTCTACAGAAATGAGGGGAAGAAGCTACAGTCCAACACCGCCCCCCCCTAGAGGATACGGAAGACGTATACGAAGCCCAAGTCCAAGAGGTCGCCATGGTGGGCGTGTTAGAGACGGACCAACTAGTCTTTTAGTTCGCAATCTTCGTCGTGATTGTCGGTATGCACTATAGAGCACATGCCATTTCCTATCATGTCTTTTTTAGGGGTTAGCTAACAATATTTTATTGGTCAATGAAATTTCAGTCCAAACAATGTGGATATAGAGCTGGTTTTTTATAATTAAACCATGCATACTTCCACTTTTGTTCTTGTTCTTCTGGTTGTCATCACGAACTCATGTACAGTTCCTTTTTTATATTTGATTGGTGCAGACCTGAAGATCTGCGAAGGCCATTCGGGCAGTTTGGGCCTCTTAAGGACATTTACCTGCCAAGAGATTATTACACAGGGTGAGATTGCCTCTCATCTCACTGTTCCCACTGTTTTGTTTTTTACATTAGAGTTTTTCTTTTGGTTTTACAAGTCAAATTTCTTCAAAAAACTTAGCATACATCACATGTCATTCATACTTTTTCAAGAGAATTTAGGATTTTTAATATGATAGTTGGTTCAACTTATTCATCTGATATTCAAATTAGGGGTTTTATTAAAATTGTTGAGATTTAGCAGTGAAAAAGAGTTATGAAGGCATCAATCAAGTATTAAGAGTTCTGTTGACATTCAAGTAGAGTAAGAGTTCTGTTGACATCAATCAATCAGTAAGTAAAGAGTTCAAGGTGATGTTAATGGTAGTGTGAAGGTTGGAAGGAATTTGGATATGAATACAGTGTGAAGAAGATTTCAAGATTTCAAGTCTTGAAGATTTTCAAGCCATCTTAAAACTCAAAACAGCTAAGGTCAGCAGCCATGTGCTTGCTTATGCACTTATCATGGCCTTCCATTTCATTGGAATTATAATCTTCATAATAATTTATTTGATTTTCTTTTTATTCTCAGCAAATACTGAACTGATTTCAACACTCATGGCCTTGGGCTTGACTATGTCTTTGCTTTTAAAATCATCTCCAATTCTTGATTATTAGTTTAAGATTTAGGTCAACAGTAAAGGGTAGTTTACCCACATCAAATATATACCTGCTGTTTCTGGTTATATTGGTTGTACTGTATTACATCTTGAATACCCCTTTACTGATTTTTTTTACATTCTAATCTCCCGTTTTCGTCTTCTATTCTTGCAGTGAACCCAGGGGATTTGGTTTCGTCCAGTACATGGAACCTGATGATGCTGCGGAGGCCAAGTATCAGATGGATGGTCAGAACTTTCTTGGTCGGCAGCTCACTGTTGTTTTTGCTGAGGAAAACAGGAAGAAGCCTACTGAAATGAGGGCGCGGGAGCATAGGTTGTTTTTTACATTTTTCTAAAAGTTCTTTACTGTCAGCATATTATTCTGTTATTTTCGTAATGCCAAGTGTAAGGATAAAAAATGGTTTTGCAGAATGTTAATGTCTCATTTCAGCCTCCCTAAAAAAGAGTTGCATTTTACTGGAGATAAAAAATTTCAATTAATTGGGGGTACAGCTCTTAAGTCATGAAAATCTACCTATATATTTTGAACTGTATTTTTTAACTTAACTATACCATAATGAACTTTGACCGTAACCTTTTTTTAGAAAAAAAATATATGAAAAAGGATTTTGCATCAGTACTTCATTTTATTTATGTTCAACAATAGGCAATTCATTTTGGGATATGATAGGATTATTCTTTTTCAATATTTATAAATTAGGACCCTCTTTAAAAGACAGAAGTGTTTGTAATAAAACTAAAACTAACTATCATCACTAGGCTATTAAATAGTTTCAAATAGAAAACTGCAAGGATATTATCCGCTTTGACTGCCTTTACTGACAATTCAAAATAGTATAATTGCAATCATCATTACTTGTGCTTTAGCAGACTTGGCTTAGTTAAGTAGCCAACTAGACTTATGTCTTGGTTGCTGCAATTGACACAGGGGAGGACGTAGCTATGAGAGGAGACGATCTCCTCGATATTCACGATCTCCACCACCCAGGTATGCAAGATCCCGCAGCCGTGATTACTACTCCCCTAAGAGAAGGGAATATTCCAGGTATGTTAAATCATTTTCTTGATATTGTTTTTTACGCCGGTTAGTTGCACAAATGTTGTTTCTGAATAAACCATGCTGAATAATGGAGAAGAAGTTTACAATATTATCGTTTTCTAACAGTCTATTATTAAAAAAGAAAGGGATAAATGAATAAGGAGACCAGAATACTCTGCTTATATAAAATAATATTCTGCGAAACAAAGTTTTTCCCTTAAAATTACTCTGACTGGAAAAGAACAAAAAACTATAAAAAGATTTTATTCCGTCGGGTGTAATCACAAACAATGGAAAGGTGTTAACAATTCAATGTTTGTCCATATGTTTAAATTTCAGTGTTCTTATAAAACAAGCTTAAAAATGAATGGTTTTTGCTTAAAAAAGAACGGTTTTTACTTTTGACATATTTTAAAGTCTCCACCATTTTGCACTTTTGACTGGAGAACAAAACAAAGTAACAAACAATTCTTTAACGGTAACAAAAATGGTTTTCCAGGTCTATCTCTCCTGTGGGGAGGAGCCGGGAGCGATCGTACTCGCGTTCTCCGGTGAGAGAGCGGTCCCCACCATATAACAATGGGTCAAGGAGCCGTAGCCAGACGCCAGTTAGGGACCATTCACCTCCATACTCGAGGAGTGCCAGCAGAAGTCCTCCAGCTGGTGGTGGTAGGAGGGGTCACTCTTCCCCACACAACAAAAGCAGGAGCCCTAATGGAGGAAGGGGAAGGAATTATGATGCCGTCCCAGAGTATGCAAGAGGACAAGAGAGGGATGAGTCTCCCCGAAACTAAGTCTCTCAAGTTGCTTTCCTCCCCTCTGTTTAGATTTTGTAGCCATGGTCTTGCTGTCGTGCTTCTTATGTTTGTCTCTTGTTGTCTGCTCCGATACTTTGGTGATGGATAGATATATGATGATTCCTTATGCCAAGCTTATGCTCGGCTAATGAAAGTACTAGGATTTCATGTTTATGATGATTCCTTATGCTAAGACTCGACTAATGAAACTTCTAGGATTTCATGATTTTTCCTTGCCGGGGCAAGGAAGAAAGGATTTCATGATTGATACGTAGCACTACGTATTATTTACTACGGGGTATTTATTTATTTATTTATTTATTTATTTATGTATTTATTTATTTATTTATTTATTTATTTATTTATTTATTTATTTTATATGTTTACATATATATGGAAGGGCTCTCTAGCAAGTATACTTTTAAAATGAGATCAAATTTATGAATGAGAATTTTGAATATATACTTTTCAAAAATCAAATAATTACTCTGTACATTTTTGTACGGAGTAGTAGATTTCATGAAGCTCATATGTCGATTAGACTTGGACTCGGGCTGGGTTTGGCCCGGGCCGGGTCTAGGCCTTGCCGGGCTGCTGGTTCTGAACAGATGGGCTTGGGACCGGCCTGGGTACCCACCGGGCCTGGGTAACCACCGGGTCCGGGTTGGGGCCGGGCCTAGTATCATTGTTTTCCCCTCTTCCCAATTAACCCCCTCCCACCCCCAACCCCCAAACCACCCCAAATGCCTCAAAATACTCAGTCCAACCCAAAAATTTAAAAAAATTGAAAAAAAATCAATTTTGGCCCGAATCGGGCTCTGCCAGGCCGGGCCTTGTTTTGGGTGACTGGTGACCCGAGCCTGGACCGGAAAACCCACGGGTTGGGCCGGGCCAGAACAGTATCGGTCCTGGGTTGGGCCACTCGACCCGAGTCCACCCCTAATGTCGATGTTTTTACTTAGATTGAGTTTTGTGTATTTTTATTGGCTTGATCTAGTAAATGTGTATTTTTTGTGTATTTTATGATTACCTAAGTTTGATCTGGTATAGAACTAGGCATGGACCCAATCGGGTCGAACCGGCCCGGAACCACACCAGCCCGCTACTGTGTGGGCCCGGACCAGACCGGGCTCGGCAGGCCATTTTCGGGCTTTAGCCGGTTTGGGCGGTTCTGAACTTCTGGCGGGTCGGTTCCGGGCCATGATTTTCATGAATCGGGCCAGGCCCAACTCAATTTTTTTTCAATTTTTTTTCTTTTCCTTGGGTAGGGCTGGGTGTTTGGGGTTGGGGGTTGGGGGTGGGGGTGAGGGAGGGGGTCGCGGGTTAATTAGAAAGTCCAATTTTTTTTTTACATAGAATCGGGCCCAACAATCCGAAAAAAAATGTCCGCTCAGGCCTAGGCCCGGCCCGGCTCGGGTTCACCCCTATATAAGACTGAAAAAGTCCGCCTAGACCTAGAACCAAAAATGAAAGTGGGAAGTTCATTGCGGGACGAAGGGACGGAGGGAGTGTCAAATAAAAACATCCTAGCTTTGCAAAGTGCAAGTATGTGGATCACGAAGTTGATATTGTTAATGTCACTCTTGATTTCAAGTTTTCAACAGATGTTTACGCCAAAGGATCTTAATGAATTTCCTACCCATCTCAATGGAGTAGGCATGTCAAAAAAAACCGGCTCGTAATGACCTGCCCTGGCCCAAGACTTGTAAGCCGGTTAGCCGGGGTTCGCCCCGTTCATACAATGGGGCGAGGTCCGCCCCACCCATACAATGGGATGAGTTCGGGTATTAGTATTGAGTTATTGACCCGTGTTGTCCCGACCTGCCCTACTCAATATATAAGCATGCATATTTTTTTAAATTATACTACAAATATACTTCTACATACATATGTATGTATATAATAAAACATAAATTATTTGGTCTTATAATAATATATTAATATTTATATTTGAATGAGATGAATTATGAATTATCAATGTCTTTTTTATATATAGCTGATGGAGTATATGACCCGGGAATCCCCGGCCCACAGACTCCTACTACACCAATAAAGGCCCAACCGGCCCAGGAAGCACAGCAGGCCCAAATTACGGCCCCCCAAGCACTTAGCAGCCCACAGCGCGCACTGGGGAGCCTTCGGCCCCCTAGCCGAAGGCTCAAATCTCTCACAGAACGGGGTTTTCAAGAAAACTAAGAAACTGGGAGAAAAACGGCAAAAAAGACAGTAGCCCTCGGCATTAGCGCGCCCTCGGCAATAGTGAGCCTTCGGCAACTATTATGCGGCCGAAGGCAGCTCACACGACAGGATCCTCCCTCCACGCGCATCTAGATCACCGTACCAAGTACGACGTCCCATCCAACAGCCGCATTAAATGCGGCCACATGCGGTTGCCAGCGCCAACCAGTTGAGGTGACGGGTGACCCCTCGGCCAATAAGCGCTTGACGCGTGTCCCTGTCCGGCATTTATTACTACTATAAATAGCACCCCTTTCTCCCATTGTAACCACGCTAAAAACGCTCCACACTTATAATACACTTTCTCTCTCTACATTTACTTGCTCTGACTTCTCTCTTGTTACTCCCCGTAATAACCCCTCGGATAAGCTACCCCCCGGGTACACTATCCATCATTTGGTGCTCTCGTTGAGAGGTCGAACAATCGAGTAAGAAACCCTCCCCCTTCGCCAAACACTAGCCCTCTACCAAAATGGTGAGAACAACACGTGCCAACTCCAAAAACGTGGAAGACAAGAACCTGGCCCTCGGCGACGTCAACGCCCCCGAAGCCTCTCACAGGGCTCCCGAGGGCGGTGTCATCGCTGGGCTGGAACAGGCGGCTGTCGACCTACGCCTTCAGATCCAACAGAATGCCCCCGATGCCCGTCTCGGCATCGAGGCCAAGAAGAAAAACCGGAGCGATGACCAAGTCAGCCCTCTGGTTCTCACCATCGACGTTCATTCGGCGCTCTCCGCCTTCATCCAGACGCTCACTCAGAACCCAGGTGCCTTCGGCACCCTGGCTTCGGCTCAACCCCAGGTTGGGGAAAACATCATACTTCCCCCTCCGCCACACCCCTTCGGAAACCCCACCCCTCGGGTTAGGAACGACGAAGGGGTAGTGGCCCAAGATACGACCTCCCAGGAAGTTCAGTCCCGGGACCGCCACAATGACAACAGAGAAAGGCCCCGCACTTCCGCCCTCAACCGGCTCGGAGGAGGGCCAGACCGCCGAGGGGTCCAAGACCGCCTCGGAGGGAAAGCACTCCAAAGGCCCCAGGAAAGCGGAGGGTCTGTCTCGAGGGCAGACGAGGAGCGTCCCCCTCGGGACAAAGGCAAGGCACCCCTTCATGCCGATGATGCTCGCCACCAAATCAACCAGGCCCACTCGGCCCGAGTTCGTTCGCAGGGGGCGGAGACCCTCCCGAAGGATCCCCGGGACGAAATTATTGCGGCCCTCCAACGCCGGCTTGACGAAATGGAGGCTAACAAAGCTCACGCCACCACCTCCACCCCTCATTCAGACCTCAAATACGAGGCCATGATGGCCAAAATGGAGGAATTACAGAAGAAGGTAGCCGAGGGCTCCGGGGAACCCGTCATCCAGCTCCGAACTCGGACGCCATTTACCCCAAGGGTATTGGCGACCCGGATCCCGGAAAAATACCGAGGGCAACACATACAGCCCTACAACGGGAAGACGGACCCCCAGGAACACTGCAACAAATACCAGAACAACATGATGATGGTAGGGGCGTCGGACGAATATTTGTGTCGTTGGTTCCTCTCCACCTTAGAGGGGCCGACATACGAATGGTTCAACCGGCTGCCCGAGGGCTGCATTGATTCATGGCAAGAACTCGCCCAACGATTCTTGACACAGTTTGCCGGGAGGCGTCGCACGAGGAAGCACTTCTCCCACCTCCTAACCATACGCCAGAGGAGGGATGAGACCCTTCGGGACTTCCTGGAACGCTGGAGAACGGAGGCCGATAAAGTCGACGGTGCTGACGACGGGACCCTCCTGGCCCTCCTACAAACCGTCCTCCGCACCGGTAACTTTTCGAGGAGCCTCATCATTGAACCCCCCCCCCCCCCCCCCCCCGCGACTACATAAGGGCCCTACAACGGGGGGACCGATACGCTGAGGTTGAGGAGGAGGAGAAATACCACCAGCATCCAGATCAGCAGCCCCCGAGGGCTTACAACAAGAATAACCGGGAGCCGGGGGCTCCTCCAAATCACCCAAGGCTTCAGGACCCTCTGTTGACCGCCCTCGGCAAGGCCAAGCCAAGCCCGGGGGGGGGGGGGGGGGGTTATAAGAGCAGCCCTAAGACTTGGGCACAACCCATTCTCCTGGACCGCCCCCGGACACCATTGACGCACCCCGTCAGCATCATCCTTGATTTTGCCGAGGAGAGGGCCCTCGTTGAGCGCGATTCTCGCGCACCCTCGGAGGTACATGCTATCAACCCTCAGTTTCCCTACTGTCGTTTCCATCGGCATCAGGGGCACAGAACCGACGACTGCCACCAGCTAAAAACGGCCATCGAGAGGTTGATACAAGCGGGGCACCTGTCCCAATTTGTTCAGAGCCCTCGGCAGGAGGGGCCTTCTCATCAGGGACCTCCCCGAGGGCACCACACGAAGGTGAACGCTTGGGTGAACCCGAACACCATCCCCCTCGGCAAGAAGAGGGAGATCGGAAACTTGGAGGAGGAAGAGGAGGAGTACCCCCACTACCAGGAGAAAAAACGCCACATCCTCATGATCACCGGCGGCAATACAGGGGGCGATTCCACCAGCCAGCGGAAGAAGTGGGCTCAATCGCTTTACGTGGGGGAAGTCACTCATATGCCCCCGGTAAAGCGACTGAGGGAGGAACCCATCACCTTCACCAACGCAGATCTCCCTCCTACTTCTTCTCCTCACAGGGATGCCTTGGTGATTCGGACTGAAATAAACGACACCATCATTCACCGAACTTACATTGACACGGGCAGCTCCGTCAATGTAATGTACCTCAACACCTTCAGAGAGCTGCATCTGGAGAGGGGGCCCCTTCGGCCCATTAAGACCCCTCTTGCCGGCTTCACCGGCGATACTATTGATTCCGAGGGGGTAATAACCCTCCCGGTGATCTTCGGCGACGGGCTCCATAGAGCTCAGCTCGAAGTGGAGTTCGTCGTCGTCAACATCGACTGCGCCCACAACATCATCCTCGGCCGGTCAGCCCTCGAGGACCTCGAGGCCATCATCTCCATGAGGCACCTCTGCCTCAAGTTTCCCGCCGAGGGGGGCATAGGCTACTCCCGGGGAATCAAA